AAAAAAAAAAAAAATGCATCACCTAAGAAGTTAATTTGCTTTGTGCTTAAAATTCCATCTCATGTCAGCAGTCCGGAGTTTAGCTTTTACTCTTAGGTTGAATCATGTGAAATTACCAATATTGGGATTTTTTTTTTGAGTTACAAAAATTGGGAGCTTAATGTAATTCAACCTAATTGTTCTGTCACCACAAAAAGTTCCTTTATGTCTCTGTACCTCAGTTTCCTTTTTTTTTTTTTTTTTTGAGACAGAGTCTCACTGTGTAGCCCTCCGTAGAGTGCCATGGTGACAAAGCTCACAGCAACCTTGAACTATTGGGCTTAAGTGATTCTCTTGCCTCAGCCTTCCACGTAGCTGGGACCATAGGCACCCACCACAAAGCCTGGCTATTTTTTTGTTGCAGTTGTCATTGTTGTTTTAGCTGGTCCAGGCTGGATTCAAACCCACCAGCTTGGGTGTATGTGGCTACACTCTACCCACTGAGCTACAGGCACCGCCCTCAGTTTCCTTTTGTGCAAAATGAAAATAATAGCTTTCACACAAGTAGATGTGAAATGTAAAAGCTATGATAAATACAACTAATGTTTTCTATAAAACTTTAGGCTCAGTGCCTAAAGTAGCTCAGGCTTGAGCCCAGGAGTTGGAGGTTACTGTGAGCTGTGATGCCACGGGACTCAAAGTAGCTCAGTGGCTAGGGCACCAGCCACATATGCCAGAGCTGGGGGGTTCAAATCCAGACCAGGCCTGCCAAACAACAATGACAACTACAACCAAAACATAGCTGGCATTGGGGTGGGCGCCTGTAGTCCCAGCTACTTGGTAGACTGAGGCAAGAGAATCACTAAGCTGAATTGCTAAACCCAAGAGTTTGAGGTTGCCGTGAGCTGTGCCACACCGCACTCTACCCAGGGTGACAGCTTGAGAGTCTGTTTCAAAAAAACAAACAAACTTTAGAAAAGTTAGTGTTTCTGGGCGGCGCCTGTGGTTCAGTGGGTAGGGTGCTGGCCCCATAACCGAGGGTGGCGGGTTCGAACCTGGCCCTGGTTAAACTGCAACAAAAAAGTAACCAGGCGTTGTGGTGGGCACCTGTAGTCCCAGCTACTCGGGAGGCTGAGGCAAGAGAGTTGCCTAAGCCCAGGAGTTGGAGGTTGCTGTGAGCTGTGTGTCTATTGAGGGCAATAAAGTGAGACTCTGTCTTTAAAAAAAAAAAAGAAAGAAAATGTTAGTATTTCTTATTACAAATTCTTTTTTTTTTTTTTT